GGGACTCCTGCCTGAGAGCAGGGCCAGCTGCGGCCCCCAGCAAGCACAGCAGCGCCGAGCGAGGGGGCCGGGGGAGAGTCTGCACGGGGTGCTTTCCCACATCTGGAACCTGCCCGGAAGAGGCAGGGGCGCCCAGGGCCCGGTCCGCCCCACCGCCAGCCAGCACCGCAGCCTGCCGGCCCAGCTCCCCGCGGCCCAGCCGCAGTGATGGACCGCCCGCCCCGGGGCCAGCTGGGCGCCCGGGGGAGCCCCGCCGGTCCAGGTGCGCTGCAGCCCCAGCGCCCTTTCAGCCCCCTCCAGCAGCGGCCCCTCCGGAGGGGGTGTGCGCAAGGCTCGCGCTCCCTGCCATGAGGCAGCAGCAAGTGCTGCCGTGGGCATGGAGGGGCCTGCAGTGCGGGGAGGCAGGCGCACATCATATCATCATATCGTATCACAGAACGGAGCTGGGAGGGGCCGTGAAGGCCATCGAGTCCACCCTCCTGCTGTCTCAGGATGCCACACACCACCCGCTCAGGCGGCTCTCTGGCCTTGCCCTCCCTCGGGCGGCCACAGGAGGTGTGTGCGGGGGGGGGGCTGCCCCCCGTGCTCGCATGCATGCGCACCCACCCAGGCCACCCCACTCAGGGCAGGGGTCGCACGCCGGGCAGCCACTGTGCTCCTCTGGTTTGCGGGGAGCGGCTGCCGTACCCTTCATGACTCAGAGGAAGGAGTGGCAGGAACACTCTCCGGAGCTGCAGATGATACAGACCAAGAGGAATTGTAAATACTTCACAGAACAAGATGCAAATTCAAAATGACCTTGATGTATGGAAACACTAGACTGAAATGCCACTCAGATGTGACTGATTGCAGTCCAGTGCGGAAAGACGCACAGGAGGATGCTGGGAAGCCACAGCCTAGTCTCTGGGATCGCGTGGGGCTTTGCACCGCTGTGCAGGAGGCCCGGCTGGCCCCCTCTGGATAAGCCCTTCTGGCACCCGCCTGCCTTGCCTGGTCCCGCTGGGGAACGGCCGCGGGGCAAGCCAGGCCCATGTGTGGGGGGACGTCCCATGCCCCGGCCAGCAGGAGAGCGCAGGCAGCGGGGGCGGTGGGGAGCGGGCTGCTGGCACAGCTGCAAGGGGGTGGGACTGAGCCGCCCCCTCAGCAGAGTGAGGCGGGGGAACGCTGCTCAGGACGCGGCTCGCCGGAGCTGCTTGTTCCAAGGACCTCTCAGGAACAGGGCTGTGCGGGAGCAGACCTGGAGTTGGCCGCCGGCTACCGGCGGGTGTGTCTCAAATGGCCCCGATCCCGCCACCGCACAGGGCTCAGGCTGCGCGGCCACTGGGCCGGCCAAGCTGCCAGAGTTGCTTCCCATCCCTCGTGCACCGGCTGGCATCCTGCTCGGTCCCTGCTCCAGCAGGCGCTCCGGCAACCAACAGTCCTCCTCCTGCTCTGTGTGCCTGGCTGCAGAGGAGGGGGCTGCAGGGGCGACCCCTCCACACGCCCACGGCTGCAGCCTGGGAGCGCCCGGAAGCGGCTGTCTGCCGGCAGAGCTCGGCTGCAGGAGCGTGGGTCATGGCTCTGGCCTCCTCACTCACCCCTCTAATTGTCTGGCTGTCGAATTTTATTTTCAATCAAGCCTAGTTTGTCTCCGGAGGATTCACTGTCCTTTACGCAGCAAGGAAATCAATTCGGTGCCTGCTGGAGCCAGCAGTGGGAGAAGGCAGCTGCTTCCCAGTTGGGGGGGGGGGGGCACAGCTCCGGTCCGGGATCGGAGTGCGCGCGGCCCCTCGGTGCTGGTGAAGCCTCCATGTGAAGAGGCCCCGGGAGGCTCGCCGGCCACTGAGGGGGCTCAGCCAAGGGCGGCCTCCCCCTGCCAGGCCCACTCCCGCGGGACGGGCGCCCATTCCTCTCCCCTGCCGGGCTGTGTCACGGGGCGTGAGCCTCTGCGTGGCAGCCCCGCTCCACACTCCGTGCGGGGCAGCCTGAAGGGGCGTCCGCCGGCTCTTGGCCCGGCTGGGCTTGGCAGCTCTTCCGTGCCCTTGACGCCCGCTGCCCACCGGCCCTGCAGGCAGGGTCCGACCCAGGGCGGCTGGGCTGCGCTGGCAGGGCTTCCCCGTCAGGCACCGCTGGCCCTGGCACCTCCCTTTCGGCTCCACCCCATGCGGAAAACCCCTGCCGGAAGGCTGAGCACGGCAGGAGAATCCCTGGCGGACGGCCCTGGGTGCGGAACGGTGCCCTGCCTCTTTGGGTGGACGCTTCCACTCGCTTGGGAAGCCGTGACTCTCGGCCACCCCCACAGCCGGGCCTTCGGACAGAGGCGGCCTGACTCCTGCGCCCGGTTCTGGGCTCGGCCGCTGAAGGATGAGGCGGACCATCTGAACGCGCTCAGAGGAGAGCAGCAGCGTTGATCCTGGGGTGGGAAACGAGGCCCTGGGAGGGCAACATGAGCAGACGGGGCATCTTCATCCAGAGGAACGTGGAGCCCAGAACTGGGCGCTGTACTCAAGGTGGGCCCCACTTGTGCCGCAGGCGGGGGAAGCAGCACCTCACCCGCTCTGGCGGCTGTCCTGCCGCCCGGAGTAGTCTTCGTCCTTCTCGCAGCCACGTCGCATTGCTGGCTCATGCTCAGCCTGTGATCGACAGCCTTCCAAGATCCCCTCACTTGCCGTGTTGCTGAGCCAAGTATCCCCCATCCTGTAACGCTGCCCTTGGTTTCTTTTTCACAAGTGCCAAACCTGGCACTGGTCCCTTTGCATTTCATTCTGGGGTTTTCAGCCCAGCAAGTGATCCTATCAAGGTCACCCTGAATCTCCTCTCTGTCCTCCAGGCTGGCAGCCAGTCCACCCAGTCTTGTGTCATCTGCAGATCTGGTCACTGTTCCCCGAACTTCCTCATCCAAGTCATGGATAGAAATGCGGAAGAGCTCGGGGCCAGGCCTGGACCCTGTGGGATCCCCCACTCGCTGCCTCTCCCGTCTGAGGAGGTGCCACGGAGGAGCCCTCTCTGAGCCGATTCTGCGGCCAGCGGTGGCTCCACCGGATCAGTGTCCCATCTAACCCGCTTTTAGCTAGTTTGCTAATCGGGATATGATGGGGCACTCTGTCAAAAGTTCTGCGGAAGTCAAGATGGATTTCATGCGTAGCATTCCCGCAGTCCACCTGGGAGGTTATCCAATCAAACATTGAAACCAGATTACTCTGGCAGGATCTGTTCTGGAGAAATCCATGTTGGCTTCCAGTCCTCACTGTGCTGTTCTCAAAGTGTTTGCAGACTGACAGCTTTATAATCTGCTCTGGAATTTTCCCTGGGATTGATATCAGACTGCCTGCTCTGCAGTTCCCAGGTTCTCCTTTTTTATATTTCTTGAAGATGTGGATAAAATGAGCCCTCCTCCAGCCACCGGGCACGTCCCCGTCCTCCAGGATTTCTCGAAGATAATAGGCAGTGACTCTGAGAGGGCTTCTGCCAGCTGCTTTATGACTCTCGGATGCAGCTTGCTAGGCCCTGGAGATTCAAACTCATTCGAGGAAATTAGGAGTTCCTTGACCAGTCCCTTATTCATCTCAAGCTTCAATCCTGACTCTGCAGTTTGTGGTTCATTTCTACCAGGTGGGTGATAGCGGGGTGGTATTACTCCTCCTCCTCCTCCTACATTACATTTCTATACCAGCCATGGCTGAAGCTCTCTGGGCGGCTCACAACATTTTAAGTCCCCCATCCAGATGTCAGCCAGGCCCGGCTCTGCTCAGCGTCCAAGATCAGACAGGATCTGGCGCTTCAGGCTTAGACCTGTTTTTGAGCCAACATAGAAACCGAGCCAAGCTGCCCTCCTCTCTGAGAAGCCGAACCACCATCTCCTTCCTCCGCAGTTTCCTGGGCACATGCCCGCAAAGAGCCCCCATCAGCCTCAGCCCCTGCTCAGCCTTGGCCTTCCCGACGTCCTCCCTGCACGACTGGGCCGCCTGCCCGCTCTGAGAGGGCTGTGCCACACGGAGTCTGCGCCCAGCAGCCTTCTGGCCCCATCCGGCTCCGCTGTTCGGTGCCTCTCCAAGGCCGCTGGGGCAGTGAGGTGCCGAGGGGCTGGGCGGGCGGAGCTCTTGTGCCCTCCTGCTGGGGCCCCGTGGCAGCCGGTCTGCCCCGTGTGCAGGCGCTGCTGTCCAGGGGGCCTTTCGCCGACCCAGCGGGGCTGTTCTTACGCTGGGTTCTTGCGACGGCCCTCCGGCCCTGTCCGGCCCTGCCCTCCTCCGATCCCGCTCCACTCAGGAGGCAGCCGGCGGCCTGGCCAGGAGCGCCCTGCCCGTGTCTGGGTGCTGGGACGAACGCGCAGGAGAGGTCGCTCTTACCGGACGGGGCTGCTGGCGGCGTCGGGGTCCAGGGCGGTGACCACGCCCACCAGCGTGCCCACCGGCGCGTCCTCCTGCACCTCCATCGGGCTGCGGGGCGGGCGGAACTCCGGGGGCTCGTCCACGTCCAGCACGGAGACCCGCAGGATGGCCTGGTCACGGAAGGCGCCCAGGTCCACGAAGCGAGGGTCGGCAAACCTGTTCAGGGCCTCCACCACCACCGTGTGCACGGCCCGCGCCTCGAAGTCCAGGGGCTGCGGCGAAGGAGATGGGGGCTGGCCAGGCTCCCCTCCCCCTCCCCCCTCCCCAGCGGCGGCTGCCCGAGCCTGGCAGCCGCCGGGGAGGGCCCTCCATCCCAGCCCCCGGAGCACCGGCCCCTTGCGACAGGCCCAGGAAGCGGCCAGCCCCCACCCCACCCGGGCTCGGGGAAACGGAAAGCCCGGCCGGAGCAGCCCCCCAGCATCTGCCGGGCCCAGCCAGGCCACCTGGCTCCGGTCCCCAGCTGGTGCAGCCAGGCCGGCCGAGAGGAGCACCGTGTCTCGGCCCCGGCCCCCCCCCCCCCCCCCCCCCCCCGCCCCGAGCCAACCATGGGATCTGCGTTTCTCCAGTGCCCCAAACGCTTCTGCTGCCCAAGCGCTAACTAACGGCAGGCTGGCCAGTGAGCCAGCAGTGCCAGCGGTGGGGCCGGGGAAATTGGGGCCCTCAAAGAGGGCCTGGCAGGGTGGAGGGGCAGTGGCTTGGTGCGGGCGGCATGTGGGCCCGGAAGGCACCGTGGGGCTTGCGCGCAGACCTCCGGAGCGGGGCCTGACGCCCAAGATGCTCCCTCCGGCAGGCCACGGGCCTGCGGCGATCCTGTGGGGAGGGGAAGCGGCAGGAGGCGAGGGAGGAGCCCCCGGCTCACCTTCTGCACGGAGATCAGTGCTTCCTGCGTGTGGCTGTCCGTGGTCACCCGGAAGACTCCCAGGCCCTCCTCATCTTTGATCTGGTAGGTCATGTCCGTGTTTTCGCCCACGTCGGAGTCGTCAGCCTTCACCCTGCCGATCAGGGTGCCGGCGGGGGCCGTCTCCACGATGCTGAACTGGTACATCTCTGATGCAGGGGGAGAGCGGGGCACTGGAGTGTGGTCTCTGCCGGCGAGGGGCACGGCCGGAGCCCACGTGCAGCCGGCGCGGGCGCAAGAGGCCCAGCCGCTCAGTGTCCGGCTGCCAGGCCGCTCCCCGGGCTGGGCCCAGCGAGTCCACCCGGGGTCCCACACCCCCTGCGGGGCCGCCCTCTCTGCTCCCAGGGCACCGGAGCCCCCGCAGCCTGTGCCCCCCGGCCAACTCGGCACAGCCGTGCCAGTCCTCGCGGGGCCAAGCCCAAGGGAGCCCAGCTGCGGTCCCTGCCCCGGCCCCAAGGCCGAGGGCCCCGGTGGGGTGCGGGAGCCCCGTGGCAAGAGCTTACTCTGCGGGAAGCGCGGCGGGTTGTCGTTCACGTCGGTGATGACAATGGTGACCGTGGTGGAACCGGAGAGGCCTCCCAGCTGCCCCGCCATGTCCGTTGCCCGAACCACCACCTCGTACCGGTCCTGCGTCTCCCGGTCCAGATTGGCCACCGCTGTCCGGACCACACCTGCGGGAGGCCACGGTCGCCTGTGAGGGCCCCAGGCGAAGGCCCCTCAAGGCGCAAGGGGCCTCCCGGCCGCAGCCCCCTCTGTGGAGGGGGCCGTGGCACCAGCCTGCCGGCGGGCACTGCCCTCATGGCGTCCCTCCTGGCGGGGGGCGGGGGCCGGCGGCCGGGAGAGCGTGGCCGGGAGGAAACATGCGTGTGCCGCGTCTTCTGGGGAGGGAGGTGTGCCCGCTGGGGGAACCCCCCCACCGGAAGCAGCAGGCCCCCCACAGCAAGAAGAGGAAGCGCGTCCCCCTGCCCCAGCCACCGCCTCGAGCTCCGGGACTACAGGCAGGGGGGGGGGGGGGGGGCGCTCGCGCAAGTGATCCAAGGCTTGGCTCCTGCCGGGTTCGCTCGGGGGTGTGCAAACAGCGCCACCGTTAAGAAACTGCCAGGGCCGCCCCCAGGACGCAAAGAGTGCTGTGGACAAGCGCAGCCACGCACGAGCCACATCACAGCTCCCCCGGGGGCCGGAGTGCTCCCTCGCGGCCTCCCCCTGCCCGGACCCCGGGATGGAGCCTCTGGCGAGGGGCTCTGGGTCAGAAGCCCCTCGCACATCCCGGGCTGCTCTTCTCTGCTCCTCGGGAACGGAGGGTGCGAAGACGTCAGCAGGAGCGGTGTGCCCCCGGCCCGGCCTCACGGGGGGGGGGGGCCGCTGGCCGCTGCCGGGGATGCCAGGGCGGCCTCGCCAAATCAGTGTGGCGGCCTCCCCGGAACCGTGAACGGTGGCCCCGTGCAGAGCAGCGCGAAGGAGGCACCCGGACGGTTCCCGAGGAGCGGCTCCCACGGCTCCCGTCGCAGCGCTGCCTGGTGGCGGGGATGCCACGGACTCGGGGCGCTGCAGGTAGGGAGTACTTCTGGTGCCGCGCCACTGCAGAAGCAGCCCTGCATCTCTGCCCTCTCTCTTTCTGCGTGGGAGGAGCACCACAGGCGGCTAGGAAAGGCCGCAGCTCTCAAGGGGGCGAGGGGATGCGGGGAAGTGGCTGGGCGTGCCTGCAGCCAGGATGGCGCTCATCTTGGGAGCGGCCAGTGGCTGAGTCCACGTGCGAGGCGCCCACCTGGGACGGGCAACCCGGCCCAGCCCCGCTGAAGCGCACAGCGGGGCTGGCCCCTCCGAGCAGCGTCCCGAGGAGCGGGGCTCCCGAAGAGGCAGCCCGTGGGGCCTGGGCAGGCGGGCAGGCTGCCGGGCGGTCCCTCTGCTGGGCCAGAGCCCAGGCCCAGAGTGTGTGGCTGCTGCAGCGCTCCGTGGCCCCAGGCGGGGAGGGCCCCTCCGCCAGGAAAGGGCCCGTGCCCCATCCGTCACGCCGAGCTGCGGGGCCAGGCGCTTCCCATCCTTCCCCCACAGGGAAGACTTTTGCCGCGAAACAAAGGCTGGCCCTCAGAAACCTTTGGCGTTCGGGCAAACAGGGATGTGCCCAGTTCCCATCCCTCCCCGTGCTGGCAGCACCTGCCTGCGGGGGGGGGGGGCGCCTGAGCCGCCCCACAGTTTGGGGGAGAAAGCGGGGGGCAGCCAGGCAGGGCTTAACCCTGCACCAGGGAGGCTGCTGCGGGCAGGCAGGGTGGGCCCCGGGTGGCCGGGCCGGTGGCCAGTGCTGGCCCGCTCTGCATGCCACGGGGATGGCGGGGACCGGAGGGCCGGGGCAGCCCCTTGTCCAAGGGCTCCGGTGGGGCGGCCCAGGCAGCGCTGCCCACCCCACGCCCGGCAGATGTGGCGACAGATGGGCCTGGCGGCTTAGCGGGGGCAGGGCAGCCTCGGAGCGCGCAAAAGGCGGCTAACCCCCAAATCCGTCTTGTCGGGTGGAAATTAGTCTTTAATGACATCAGTAAACACAGCTGAACCCTGCAAGCGGGCCAGGGAGGCAGCCAGCCCCCACCCGGCCCCCGGCCCCCTCCTGGCCGGGCCGGGCAGGGCAGGGCAGGGCCAGCCACGCCTCTGGCAGCCCCTGCGCCCGGTGCGGCCTGGGGTGCGGGTGCCGGCTGGGGAGGGAGGGCCTCGGGGCCCTTGCCTGCCCCCCACGGTCACTCAGGCACCGGCTCACATGGCGCAAGGAAGGCTCACCTCACGGTGGCCAGTGAGCCGGGTGGGCCTCCTGCAGGGTCCCCCCCTCGGGGCCCCTCCGCCTGCCCGGGGCCCCCGACTGGGGAGCCTCAGTGGTTTAGGGGCGGCTGGGCGGGCGCCCCTGCTCCCAAGCACACTTTGCCTGCGCGCGCGCACACAGCCCTCCAGCACACGGTGGCAGCGCAGCGGGGGCTGTGCCCACCTGGGCCGCCTCCACGCGGGAGGCAGGGAAAGGCAGGTCAAAGTCAGAAGGGAAACGCGCCGGCTCTCCGCTGAGAACAGGACAGACGTGCAGTGTTTTATGGCTCCTTTTATGGCGCTAATGATCGCAGTGGCTCTGCGAGTTAAGCAGCTGATACGGGCAATTAAGCCGCGTGCTCCGGGCACAGGGAAGCGCCGCCCGCCAGGCGCACGATGGGAAGGGCTCGGCTTCCTCGGCTGCCGGCCCTCACCGGAGGCGTCTGCCCCGGCCACCCTGGGCGGCCCCCTCTGTGGCAGGGAGCGGGGCCGCTTGCTCCAAGGCCTCATGGTGCGCCCCCTGTCCGCAGCCCCTCGCTGGGGGGCTGGCCCCGGTCTAGGGAATGCCCAGACGCGCCTCTGACTCAGCGGCGGCCGGTTGCCGGGATGCTGCCGCTTTTCCAGCCTTCTCGGGAACAAAGGGTCCGCCAGAGGGAGGGTGCTCCCATGGGGACGGCCAGCTGGGGACGCGTAGCCCTGCCCTGAACCTGCAAGGTGCGAGGCGGAGGCGCATCCTCCCCCCCCCCGTATCACCTGGCACCCCCTGAGCTGTCTCCCTTCGCTCGCCTTTTGCCCCGCTGAGCGTCCGGGCGCTCATCAAATCTGAATGGCGCATTTATACAGCCACCCTTAATTGGAACTGTGGCCTTTAATCAGAGGCCGGTGCTACTGCGGGAGGGCACCTTCGTGTGGAGCCGGGGACGCCCCGGGGAGCCCTTCCTGTGCCACGCGGGGGGTGGCCTCAAGCGCCGTGGAAAGGGCAGGCAAGCGAGCCGGCTCTGATGGGGCAGCGGAGCCCCTGGCAGCAACCCCCCCACCCCCCCAGCCAGCTGCCAAATGCCACCCGGCCCCTCGTGGGCAGGGCCGGTCCACCCCCCCAACAGAGCCAGAGGGCATTCCCAAGGGTGAGGGGGGCAGAGGGGGCAAGCAGGGGGGGGAGCCAGAGGCCGGCCTGACCTTGCCTGAGCTGGGGGGCTGAGAAGGGCAAGGCAGAACAGGAGCGACATGCCCCCCCTGCCAGCTGCACGTCCCCGAGAAGCAGCCTTACTCCGTGCTGCCCAGCGGTGGCCAGCTTGCCCCCCCCCCCCCCCCCAAGTGGGGCTGTTCCAGGGTAGAACCCTCCACTGGCTCTGCTTCCAGGTAAGGCTTGGCATGGGAAGGGGGGCCCCCAAACACCCCCCGGCGTAACACTGGAGGGCAGTCCGGCAGAGAGCCTGCGGGGCCTTCGGGAGCAGCCGTGGGGCATCCGCACCTCCCCCTGCACGGGCGCTGCGCTGTCCTCCCCCAGAGCCACGGGTCGCTCGAGGCCGGGCCCCGGAGTGCCTGCCAGCCCTGCAGGGGCCACTTACCCGTCCTGCTGTCCACCGTGAAGTGCCTCTCCCCCTCCAGGACGCTGTAGGCCACCCGGGCGCTGCTTCCATAGGTGGGGTCGTCGGCATCGGACGCCATCACCTGCATCACGGAGGTCCCTGGGGGGCGGAGAGGCCCGGGCGTGAGGCAGCCCCCCAGCGACTGCACTGGCCCAGGCTCAGAAGGGCCCCCTGCGCGGCGTCTCCTGCAGGATCGGGCCCTGGCAGCCCCGGAAAGTGGGCCCCGCCGGAGGGCCGCCCGGCTCCCTCGCAGCCCCGGGCAGAGGCAGAGGCCGAGTCCGCACGCGCCACACGCAGCGGGGCAGCGAGAGGCTAAGCTGGATGGAGGCCCACCGAGTGGCTGCAATTAAGTCATTGATCCTCGACGTGGCCTCATTAAAGAGGGCGCTTCGCTCCGACTGTCCCCAGCATGGGCCTAATTTGACATCATGTTTGAACTGAGAACCGCTGGACCCCAGGCAGGGAGAGCTGCAGGCCCGTGGGAAGCGCTGGGCAAAGTGGCCCCTGTGCAGGTAGGCGGATCCGGAGGCCCCACAGCGCCCCTCGAGTCGGAGCCGGGGCCCGGGCAGCATGGCCGCCCACCAAGGGCATGACCGGCAGCAGCGTGTTGCGTCCAGCCGGGCCAGGCCGGCGGGCCTTCCGTGCGCGACTCGCACTGTTCCGGGGGTGCTTGTACCACGACGGAGCGCCACACTGGCCAAAGCCAGGCGGGCACCCTGGAATCGGCCAGTGAGCCGCTTTACACGGGCAGCGGAAGCCCCCTGGCAGGCTGCTAGCTTGCCCGGGCACCTGCCAGTGCCAGCATCCCCAGTGGCCGCTCGGCACGCCCGGCTCCGTGTGGCAAGCGCGAACTGCTGGCCGCCCGCGGCTGCTCTTTCGCTCAGCTCCATGGCTGCTGCTTCGGAGCCTGTCACAGCCGGCTTGCCAGCTACTGAAGCCCGTCCGCAGTGCCCAGGAGGCGCCTCGGGGGGCTGCGGCTGGCAAGCCCTATCTAAATGTTTCGTGTGTTTGAGGGTATTTGCAAAACTGGGACTTCTCCGGGCATCCCCACTTAAGGCAACGCCACGTGGCTGAAGAAACTAAGCCGATGTGGCGGGAGAGCAGCAGGCTCCGAGTTGCTTGGAGAGGGAGAGAGCCCAGCCCTTCCCTGGCCGCCCTGCGGCTGGCGTGGCGCCTCGGCCCCAAGCGCAGCCGCAGGGGCAGGAGGAAGGGGCCCCCTTGTGCCCCCCGTGGGGGGACCCCTGCTGAAGGAGCAGCCCTCCCCAAGGCAGCCGGGCACGAAGAGTGGCCTGCCTTCCGGCCACCACGGTGGGCAGCCGTGCCAGCAGAGGTGCCTGCAGCCGTGCCGGGACCTTCGGCACACGAAGCTGCTCCCCAAACTCGTCCACGGAGCAGCTTTGCGCTGCCTTTCCTTGCAGAACCTCTCGAAACGTCTTTGCGCTCCATTTCCTTCTGGATACAGGACTTGCATACAGAAGCGTCCTGCTTTTACCTGCTGCATTTCTAGCCTGCTTTTCAGGCAAGCTCTCCTAAGCAGACTCAAGCGTCAAAATGTCAAAAGCAAGACAAGTTACCGGACCCCAGAGGGATAGCAGCCCGGCAGGACAGACAAGTGGTGCCTGGCTGCTGCGGCACCTTGGGGGGATGTTGACCCGCCGCCCCGCCAGCCTCCAGGCTGCGCTCCCACTCAGAGGCGCCTCACTTGGCCCAGCTTCCCTCTTGCAGCCACGGGGCTCAAACCTTTCCAGGGAGGGGGTGCACCGCGTGGCCGCTGGGAGCGAGCCAGGCCGCCTGAGCTTCACCCCCAGCTAGGAGTGGGGCGGCCCCTGCCCACTCCCCACCTTCACCGGTAGTTGTGGCCGGGTCCCACCAGGCGAGGCGGGCGCAGCCGGCCCACTGTCACGAAAGCGGCTCCGGCACGCACAGCAAGTCCTGCACACGGTGCTGAGCTGCAAGGCACCCCCCCCCCCGCCCCCAGAGATAATTAGGCACGAACAGTGGCTAAAGAACAGAGCCCCCCGCCCCCCCAGCACACACCGCGAGGGCCGTGAAGCAGCAGCGCAGCATCAAAGTTAACGAGTCGGAGCAAACGGGCCGCTCTCCGTGCTGCAAGAAGCCACCGGCCCGAGCGAAAGGCTGGGGCGGGGGCAGCCCGCCTCCCTGGCAGAACCAGACCGGGTCCCTCTGCCCACAGCCCCGCACAGCTGCCCGCCCCACGCTGCCCGCACCGGCCCGGAGCTGCCTTTGGGCCGTGAGGGCGCTGGCTGTGGCTCCTGCTCGCCCCTCGCCCCCAGGGGGCGAGGCACGGAGGGACGGGACGCGGCCCGCGGCTCTTCTCCGTGATGTGCGAGGTGGAGGCCAGCAAGCCGCGTTTCCCTGGGAGGCCGGGGGGGCCCCCTAGCCCACCGCCCGCTCTGCGAGACTCGCTCTCCAGCTGGCTCCCATGCGGCCCTCAGGCAGTCCCCCCCGTTGTGCCCCCCCACACCCGGGGCCTGGCCTTGCCTGGCACGTGGGGCGACCCGCCTGCTTCCCCGAGCGGTTCAGCTGGTGCTCCGCGAAGTGCTCCTGCCCCGGGGCTGCCGGCAGTGGTGCCGCCCCTCCCCTTGCCTGCACCTAAACCCGCTTCCAAGGGGGGCACCAAGGCAGGCGGGCAGCTGGCAGCGGGCCTCGGCGTGGCGCCGCAGTGGCCACAGCCCCCCTGGAGCATGGGACAAGGCGGCCAGCGGCCGCAGAGCCGTGCGCGACCCACACGCAGCCCTACGTGGAGCGGACACGGGCGTCAGCTGGGCGTGACGGACCCCGTGGCTGGGAGGCCCACAGAACTCCTCACTGGGGCTTTCCGGCAGGGCCCCCTCGCAGCCAGCCGGAGCAGAAGCTCGGACCAAATGGGCCGGGGCCTGCTCTGGCCCTGGGGCTCCCGCGGCACAGCTGTGTGGCCGAGCCACACGCCTGGGGCCATTTAGGGGCCGCCAGGCCTCGGCCAAGGGCCAGTCATCTCCTTGTGCAACCCTCCCCTGAGAAGCCCACCTGAGCGCGGCTGAAGGTGCTTCCGTGGCTGGCCTGCGACGCTTTGCTGGGGTGCCGTCCGACTCAGTGTTGCGGGCTGGGTGTGCGCGAGCAGCCCCTCTGGAGCGGGACTCTCTCAGACCCCCGCTCTTGTCTGCAGCCGTGGGGCCGGTCGCACGGCTCCACCGGGGAAGTCCTCCCCACGGAAAAGTGGCGCTAGGAGCGCCCTCTTCGTGCCACATGCTAGAGTCCGTGTGCCGCTGGGGAACGTTTCTGCTTGCCCAGCCTCTGCTCTGCGTCTCCATGATGGGCTGCAGCGCCAGAGGGACAGAGAGCTCCAGGGCTGACGCTTTCCTCCCTGCTTGGTGCATGGAAGGGCCAGGGCCAGCTCTGTCCCGGGCACATCAAGAGCAGAGCAAGCACCCCCGGAGAGCAGCTTCCCGCCCAAGCAAAGCGCCCGGAGCAGGGGGCCAGGAAAGGTGGTCTGCCCCCACCCCAGGTTCTGGTTCTGCGCAGTCTGGCTTTGGGCTGCCCGCTCCAGAGGCAGCTCGAGAGCAGGAATGGCAGGGAGAGGTCGCCAAGTGGAGCCCGGAGGGATCCGTGCGCAGAGGCCCTCTTGGCGCACGTGCTGGCCAGGCGTCTCTGGAGAGCCCCGAGGAGGGCAGGAAGGGCGCAGCCATGGAAAGGGGGGCTCCTGAGGCCAAGGACCAAGTGATCCCCCAAGTGGGAGCTGCTCCCGGCACAGGGCATCCGGAATGGGAGGGAGAACCCGGGAGGCGCAGGCTCGCCTCCCGCAAATGAACGGAGAGTCCTCCCCTGGGAGGGTGTGCGGACCCCCACGAGGCCTGGGCGGCCTGGGCGGGGCGGGGGGCTGCTTCCTCGCCCTGCCCTCACCCAGGGGGAGGGCCCCCAGCAGGCGCCCCGGCTGAGGAGGCCGGCCGCGTGTGCAGCATCGCGCCAGCCTGCCAGGGCCGCCATCAGACCGGCGAGGCACGTCGGTCGCGCTGCTCCAGAGCCTTCCCTTTTAACTTCTGAGCCTTCTAATTTGCCGGAATCGCCTCCTTTCATGTGGGGGAAGCACGTCCCTTCCTGCCTGTGATCTCCGATTTGGCACAGTCGTGGCCTCCTTTGATATGCCGCGTTCCCATCAGCCCGTGATCAGGCTCCGGGATAATTGCTCGCCACCCCCGACGCTCAGTGGCTCGGCACAGAGCCCGCCGCCCCAGCAGCCCCTGCGCACGGGGCCACGCGGCTGCCTCCTGCTCCGTGCAGGGGAGCCGGGCCCCTTGCCCAATATGTGCTGGGGCTCAGCCCCACTCAAGCCCTCGCCTGCCCTTCTGAGCTGCGCTCCCCCCCCAAAAAACTGCCCGGATGGGAGGGGGTCCCACTGGCCGTTTCAGAAGGCCTGTCCTGCTGGGAGGCTCGGGGGGGGGGGATGAGCACGGGAGGGGGGCTCCCAGGCCAGTTCGCGCTCCACCCCCCAGCACGCGTCTGCATGCTATTCAGCAGACCCAGCCGGGTGGGGAAGAGCGGGGCTGGCTGGCCCGGAGGACGGGAGGCCTGGCGCAGCACGCGGCTCAGGGAGCCTGCGAGGGGGCGAGGGCCACGAGCGCCCGGGGACCGTTCGGAGGATTCCCCCAGCTCCCTCCCAGGTGGCCGCCCCCGCTCAAGCGCCCCACAGGAGACCCAGCCGCCCCAGCCCAGCAGTGCCTGTGGGCGCGGCACCGGCTCGAAAATGCCGACCGGGGCGGGAGGGGCAGACGGGGCAGGGGCACAGAAGCGGCCTCAAGCAAGGGATGCCTTTCGGGGGGCTCCCGGGGCCTTGGGCGACGGCAGAGGATGGGAGAACGCTGCAGCAGCTGCATCCGCGGCAGTGCAGCCTGGGGGCGGCAGGCAGGCCGGCCCCTCGTCCCCGGGAGCCCCAGGGACCAGTGGAGGCAGGACCTCGGCCACAGGGCCGCTGGGCGCAAGGCGTTCAACCAGTGCTCAGCCAGCTACTGGGGAAGAGCAAAGGGCAAGTACAAATCGCTCCGGCGCTACGATGCAACTCAATTAGCCTTTTCCAACCTTGCGCCTGCCAGACCCATTTGGAC